TATATATATATATATATATATATATATATATATATATATATATATATATATATATATTAAGATCATAAAAATAAAACCTTTTTTTAACAAAAAGAAATAAATAACTTGAATCTCACATTGAAAAAAAAGTAATTAAAATTTAGTCTTCCAACTTATTTTTGACTTTAGACCACTAATTAGCTTGAGCCGTCACTTAGCTTTCTTATCAATTATGTTTACTAACTAATGCTAAAATGGTCAATTAAGAAAGGACATATGTTGAATACTAATTAATTTTTTTCTTTCTTCATATTTTTTACTTGTTATTTACTTTCAACACTCTCTAAGCCACCTTAACACAAAAAAACGTGTATTTATTACATTTTAAAATAGTTAGCAGGTATTAGAACATATAAAGAAAATGTGTATTGTTAAAATTTTTACTATAGTTCAAGGGAGTACTTATGCTTTTTTCCAAATAAAATAAAATAAAATAAATATTTACAAACTTGACAATGTTTTGTTAACCTCATATTCAAACATTTGAATAATAACAATACTGAGCAGGTTCTTGATGCAGGAAGTAAACAAGATACAACACAAGTACAAGGCTACAATCGGGATGCTCTCAGTGATCACACTAAGGATAGGCGCACCAGTTAAGAATGGAATGTAAATATTTGTTCAATCAGATTAAATCTCACAACATGTGAAATCAAAGCCGCATTCAAGGAAAATCAATCGAGGATATCGATGATAAAATCAAAGGAAAATGTTAAGGAAACATCATCATACCAATATTTACAAAGAGTACAAGATAAATCAACTTAAGGAAAGGATCAAATCACACACGACTATCAAGCAAAGACTCAAAATCCTCACGCAAGGAAAGAATTGATCTATCATGCACATATCTAATATGGACATAATTGAACAGATCAATTACAAATGACTCGAGGATAAGATCAAAGATCCTTGATTCAAATACCCTTGGGTTTCTCATAAGAGCTTACACTATATAAAACCTCCTCTGCCAGTTGTGTGAAGCACATAACTATTGGGCTATTGAACATCTTCCTGCCAAAGTCCTATGGCCTAATACTACTTGAAAAAGGATTAAAATTATTCTCTTTATTTAGTTTCCAATTCTATTGGGAAAAGGTTTGAAATTGTATTTCTATTTGTTGTTGGTTTTGGCTTTGTAAGGAAAAGCAAAACTCTATAAATAGAGGATGGTATTGAGAGAATAATTCAATTGCTCATTGATATTGTCTTTGAAAGACATTAGAACATAACAGAGGTTTTTGAGAGAGCTTTCAACAAGAGAAAAGAGAGAAGGAAAAGGGTTATTTTGCTGTAGTTTTTTTCTCCAACGAGAAACATTCAAATCATGTTTTCTGATTAACTAACTGTTGGATAGTGATGCAATTTGGACTGAGTGTTCCTGACATCTTGTTGGTTGATTTGAATGATGTAGATTGGATTCAGAGGTCAACAATATCCTATTTTAGGTCCCGAACAGAGGCTGGGTTTGGGTTGTGTTTCTTTCTATTTATCTTTTGTTGGTGTAGCTATTCTTTGTTATTTTTTGGCTCTTGTTGTGTATCCATTAAAAGAATATTTTTAACCCTCTTATTGGTATAGTGATGCAATTCGGATCTTGTCGATCCCGTGGTGGTTACCTTCGGTTGGAATGGTTTTTTCACGGTAAACTTGATGTTATTTATTGTTAGTTTTTGGTTTCATCTTTTCATCACAATAACAACTTCACTTGAACTTATTTGTAATTTTCTTTCATGTTTCATAAAGCTTTGTACACAAAGAGTTAACATTTTTAAACTAAAATGAGAAGGAAAAATTAAGGGAGTAGCACTGCCCTGTAAGCTCCTATCTCAAATCTCAGAAATTGTCTCTCTTTTTTCACTTTGTGTGGTCTTGAGCTTTTTGAAGAAGTGGTTCGCCTGTTCTATGCAAATCTCTGCATCTCACCTAACAGTGGTGAGTTAGAATCGTTGGTGCTCGGTAAACGCTTTATCATCAATGAGATGTCATTCGAAGATGTGTTTGGTACTAAGTTTTCTGGGGTAATTCCATACATGAACGGAACATGGACTGATGACTTTGAAGTTTCTCTAGATGGTGAAAAGTGAGTCATGGTTGAACCCGAGACTCACATTTCTGAATTTGAGCCCTTATATCTATGTTTTGAGAATCATATTCTCGCACATATCCTGGCCACAATGTTTATTCCCAAGAAGGTCTCCTTGAGTAATATATCTACTCGTGATGTATTTATTCTCTACTTCCTGCTTAAAAAATACCGCATCAACTGGGTAGAATGGTTCTAAGCGTATATGTGGTAAAGTGTTGAAGACTTGAATGTCTCGACAAGTCTGCCCTATGGCTAGATTATCTCGAGGATTATTGTGAATAGTCTTGAGGATCCATCTATGTTTACCCTTTATCTTATAAATGCAACTTATTATTCTCATACTTTTTCGAGTATGTGGTATGTGCACGTTTGTGAAAAGTGAGTAAAAAAGGACTCATACAAAGCTCGGGTGGATTCTCCTGAACCCTAAAAAATCTCGGTGGATTTTGCCGCTCTTTTATTGCTAGACAATGAGGAGGTCAAAAATAGACATTTAGCTATAGAACAAAACTTGGAGACCTTTAATGATGTTGTGGAAAGGTATTTCATTTACAGAAAGACTCTAACACTGATATCGGTAAGTTGCGCATTGCCATGAAAATGATTAAGTATTAAGGTATCTCAATGGTAAATCCCTTGATCCAACAAGTTGACTCTCTAAAGAGTGGAGTCAACTCCTCCAACAATGTGCTTGCTGTTACAGTTCAGACTTTATACTTCAATCTTCCGTGGAATGTCGAACGTTCGTATAACACCTTCTGTGAGTAAGTGAGTAACTCCCTCAAGTACTTTTGCGTTGGTCATTAACTCTACTGGATGAACCTTTACTTTTTGAACTAACTTTCTGTCATGACCCAAATCGGGCCGCGACTGGCACCCTCACTTATCCTCCTACGTGAGCGAACTAACCAATCTAAACCCATCATTTCAAACATAATGAACTAAATACATTGCGGAAGACTTAAAAACTCATTAACAAAATATATCAAATAACTTCTAAAACTCAAAAATTTATTATTATCCCCAAAATCTGGAAGTCATCATCACAAGAACATCTATCCTCAAATTACTAATCTAA